ATTTGGTGGGCAGCTTAACTGGTTGATGCAGACAAGTCTCTAGACTGGTGGCTTGTTATGATATCGTCCCTATAGTCAGAAGACTGGCAGTCATAGTGTTATTTGTCAAGACCATTTGTCTTTCTTTATTCCTCCTGAGCACTTGTCTCCTTCTGTTCCATTGCTTTTGACAGCCTGATTTTGAACTGTTGAGCTAGTGGCCATTTTCATCCTCTGGAGTTATTCCAGAGGGTCTTCAGATTTTACTGCTGCACTTATCTACTCTAGATGTTCTGCATTACATAGATGTTCTGAGTAGAAATGCTGAACAGAGGGACTCAAAAGGAGTGATGAAACATTGAATTTCCTGTAGCAGAAGATGTTATGTCTTAGTGTCCCTCTGTTTCCCTGTGGTTCAGTACTGATGATCTCCACCATGAGCTAGGGAAGTTGAGCTCAGTGTAACTGACATGTTGCTCATCTTGTGAATGCTTCTGCAGGGACATAAGCTGAAGGAGAGCTTGACCCCTGTGCTGAACCTGCTGACCGAGAGTGCCAGAGTCCACCGCCAGACAAGGAAGTTCCTGAAGGCAAAGGTATGCCATGGGTTCAGCTGAAAGTCAAGTGGTGGTGCTCTGAGGAGAGAGGAGAATAGCAAGCTGCCTGAATATTGCCATTCTCCAAGGAGACTTCCTCTCTCTGTTAGATTTGTATATATGTGTGGTTGAAGCCCATGACATGCGCAGTGTTTTTCTCCACCTCTCCCATGCTCTGTGGATTTGTTAGATTTAGCTGATTTGTACAATGCACGCACTTCTTTCCCTGCCTACCCTATGGATGCTGTTCCAGCTCCAGTGACTGTCCCTCGCTGTGGCTTTGTAGGTGCTGCCTCCGCTGCGGGATGTGAAAAATCGTCCAGAGGTAGGGAACTCGTTGCGGAACAAGCTGGTGCGTTTGATGACCCATATCGACACTGACGTGAAGCACTGTGCAGCTGAATTCCTCTTTGTGCTTTGCAAGGAGAGTGGTGAGTCACAGGGAGTCCTGGAGCATGGGATGGGTGACCCTTTGCAAACATCAGGGACCTCTGCTTCTCCATGGCCTTCATCTGATCTCACAGTTGGCGCACACAGCAGGAGGATCAACATGAGGTCCATCTCTCTCTCCCATTAGTGTCGCGGTTTGTGAAGTACACAGGCTATGGGAATGCAGCTGGGCTCCTGGCAGCGCGAGGCCTGATGGCTGGTGGCCGGGAGGAGGGAGAGTACTCAGAAGATGAGGACACTGACACAGAGGAGTACAAAGAGGCAAAGCCCAAGTAAGAACTCTACTTCCTCTCTATTAGCATCCCCCTTCCTCCACCTCCTTCCTGCTCCAGCTCTGTCTCTTTTTTCCTATCTATACCTGCTAACTCCCTTGTCTTTCTTCATTACTGAAGTTTTGCCCTTAGTTTTGATGTTGTTCTACCATCTTTACCATCTTCTTGGGTGAAATGCTTCTGTGACTGAGCTCTTACCTCTTTGCTTCCCTCCTTTGTCCTGGTCTCACTGTTCTTGTAGCATTAATCCTGTGACAGGACGTGTTGAGGAAAAACTCCCCAACCCCATGGAAGGGATGACTGAAGAGCAGAAGGAATATGAAGCCATGAAGTTAGTCAATATGTTTGACAAGTTGTCCAGGTATGAGAAAATTGTGTGTGTTTATGCCTGTATTAGCATCTGTGTGATTTACATTTATTACTGGCCTCTGCAAACTGTAGGGTCATGAGAGACTGGGGGAGGTACCTGGAGAACTTTTTCCAAATTTGTGTAAGCTGGGTCTTGTTAAATCATTAATAGGTGTCACAAAGAGGAGCCTAGGGTCTGCTAAGTGTTCTGATTGCCCTCCTGAAGAGCAGGAGGGAAAGGGGCAGTGCACTTGATGCATGAGTTTTTCCACTGTGTGTTAAAGGATGGGAACAGACGTTGATGTCTCTGTTTTTCCTCTGGCCATCCTGCACTGCAGAATGGGACCCTAAAAACAGATTCTATTTCAGGGTAACTGAGAACTGCAACATCTGTGGGTTGTGTTTCCAGCTGTTGCCTCACTGTCCTTATCTCTTACATTTACTTTTGGTGCTGGCTTGAGGAATTGCTCTGGGCTGCTGCATGCCAGTTTCCTACAGTTCTTGCTGCAGGACTTCTATTCCTCCAGTGCCACTGCAAGTTTGTTACCTTCTCCCTTCTCTTCCCTGGTTGCAGAGAACAAGTCATCCAACCCATGGGCATCACGCCGAGTGGCAACCTGGCCCCCATGGAGAACACCATCCATGATATAGCTGATGAGGGGTCCTCATCTGACTCGGACCTGGGGCTGGACTGATCCTGACCTCTTACCCCAGCCTCAGAGAGCTGGGCGGTCTCCACCTGCTCTCCTCCAGAACTGGTGCTGCACCTGGAGGCTAGTACCAGACTGGGACTCTCCCCATGGGATCTGAATCCAGCCTGGGCCCCTCACACTTTGCAACAAAGAACCTCCAGCCTCCTTCTCAGCTCTGTAACCACCTCTCCTTCTGGAAGGTCATCATGGCCTGGCTCCACTTGGTCACTTCCATTGGCAGCTTTGAGAATATCACACTCCCAGTTGCTTCCAGGACTTTTCAGTAGGATTTTTTTGTTTTAAATATGTGATGTTTGGGGGGGGAGGGAAGGGTCAGGGGAATCTTTCTGTCAGACCATTGTGCTGATATTTGTGTAGCTGCGTATCAGCACGCGTGTCCCCATGTGTGTGGTCAGCCCTGCACAGGGGAGCTGTTCCCCAGGAATGCAGGGGGGCTGCAGGCAAGAGTGGGAATGCATTCTGCAGGGAATGCAGTCTGTGGGACGTCTCAGCATAATGCACCCTTGTCATGAGCAGTACGTGTGGATGTGCTGTGTGTGGCAGTAAGCATTATGACATCTGTGCAAACAGAATTGTGTGGATGTATATGAGTGCTGTGGGGAGCATGGTGCATGTGCTGTGGGGCAGGCAGGAGGGGGGGACTTTGTGAGACACTTCTGTTATCTGCAGGAAAGGAACGTGTGATGACTGACAGAAATGCTCCGATATTTTTGTCTGTGGTGCTGTGCAACCTCCCTCTTACCACAGAGATTAGTTAGTGGTGTTCTTACCTTTCCCCATCTTACACTTCCTGATTGAAAGGTTGAAATAAGGTCTGTGTGTGCTGGCCTCCTCACCTGCCTCAGCTTTCCCACAGACTCGCTGCTGTTTGCACCCAGGGGCTGCTATTGGTCCTCTGCTATGGCTTACGTTTCTATTATGTACTTTTTTTTCCTTTTTAAAGAAAATCTAGTTTGTCTTGTACCAGGAGTTCCAAAATGTAACTAGCAAGTAGGAATGCAAATGTGATGCTAGAATAAAGAAAACCTTCTGACAAATGGGTTTGGCAGTGATTTCATTGAACGAGACAGCTCTGAGCAAGCAAGGAAGGATCATTTTCTGATTGGCATGTAGTTCTACCTCAGAATAATGGAAGGATAAAATTCAGAAAAACTGCTTCCAGAAAGAAGTACCACCACATTTCTTTCATCCACCAAATAAATGGTATCAGGAGATCATGTTACCAAGAACAGGACCTTTCTGTGATGAACCCATGCTGACTGTGCCTGATAACAGCTTTTTTCTTTAATTACTTTCAGTAGCATCCAGGGTAATAGTCTCCATAACTTCTCCAGAGACTGAGATTGGACGTATAGGTCTGTAGTTTCCTGGGTCTTCTCTCATGTTCTTCTCACTGCTCAGGTTAACACTGTCCAGCTTTCAGCCCCAGGGACCTCTCCAGGTTCCCAAGATCTTTGGTGAATTGTTGAGAGAGGTTCAGCTCCTTCTGTGCTCTAGGGTAAATCCCATCAGACCCCACAGTCTGATAAACACTGAGCTGATACATCTGGACCCATATATGGCCAAATGGAATGCCACTGCTCCTCAGTTGTGGTCCTCCAACCTAGAGGGCTGGACAGCTCAAGATCTATCACAAATACTAAAAAATGAGGCAAAAAGAGCATGAAATACTCTGCCTCTTCCTCATCCTTGTTTGCTAGATGACCATCTCCATCAAGGATCTGTCCTGTGTTTTCCTTAGCCCTTCTCTTGCTTTTACATACTTATTAAAAAAGATTTTTATGTTACTGACTTGCTCCTTGTAAACAGCTGCTTGCTGTGAGACACAAGACTGCTCATCTCCTTTGCAATGCTCTGTAAAAACCATCCACGCCAGTTGTTCTCCCTCTGTGGAACAAGAATTTGCTGCTTGGCCTTTGCAGCATGACACGAGCCAGCCTGGATGATTGCTTGCTCTCTGACAGCCCCAGGCAGCAGTAGGTCTCTGGAAGAAGACAAGGTAGCCTGAAGAGGCTCTTGTGGGATGTCTGGGGCTGTGAGGCTGCAGATGCATGGCCAGGGGCTGCATCAGAGGTCCTGCCCAGGTGGTGTTAGAAACTGTGAAAGGCTGTCTCTTTGAGAAGCTGAAGGCATGCTTTGTAACTGCAATGTTAGTTCATCAGTGATGATGGTATTTTTAGCAGTAGTGATCAAAATTCTGCAAAAATCACATCATTCTAAAGTAGCAACAGGCCCTCTGCTTTCCCTGATGCTGCACGTTCAGATGCATCTGCTGAGATCCCGGTTGTGAGGACCACACGGATGTATTTGAATTGTGGTTTTGGTTAAATGAGCTTGTTTGTCTGAATGCACATTTGTTCAAACCTTTCTTCTAGGAAGCTGCTAGGACACCAAGCACAGAAGTCTGTTCCTGTAGCTGTGCCAGACTTCAATAGTGTCCCTATTGGATGTACAGCAGCTGTGTATTAGGTCTAAATGCTTGTAATTATACAGACAGCCATTAGACAGCTTTTGGAGGCTGTAGCTTTGACTTGAAAGCTGCTTTGTAGAGCAGAGAAGTGTCCAGTGTTGTGTTAGTAAGACACCTATGTATTATGTGTGGTGATAGTAGGTACTCAAACACAAGGGACTGTGTGAAACTTACAGAAAAAACACTCTGCTGGCATCAGGAAAATAGCTGTAACTCTTTATTATTAATAATCACCACTACACTGAAAATTTCCAGCAGTTGAGCTGGCCTTTCTGAACAGGAACAGGTACATTAACAGTACATTAACAGCAATCATCTCCTGATCAGCAGGTTTCATCCAAAGACTAAACATTACCAGTCTGCAGCAGCTAGCAGTTCGTGACTAAGAAAAAAGTATCTGTGGAGGAGCTGTGCACGAGCACATCTCATCTGACATGCTGGTGAAACTCATGGCTGGACATTGTCAAATGGTGCTTTGACAGAGCCAGGGCCACACAAGAGTAAAGTGTCTCCTAATGGGTGCTGAAATGAGGTGAGGAGGAACAACCTTCGGTGGCTACATCAACTGTTTTGAAATCTCAGATAGAAAAGCCTTCACGTGTGGAAACTGCAACTTGGCAGTGGGGCTGTGCTCCTTTCGGCTTCCCTTCCTTCATGGATGACAGGGTCTCACTGCTTCCAGGCTGGCTGTAATGAGCCATGAGCATCCTCCTTTTCCCTAAGTGCCAGTCCTATGTAGATTTGCTGCTGCAGACCTGGATGAACTCTTCCACAGCCCCCTGCCATTGCCACTTTCTTTGCTCATGCTGGGCATGACAACATCTCTTCTCCTTCAGGATGAACACTGCTTTCCAGCAGCAGGGAGCCAGTTGTCCTATTAGTCTTTTGAATCCAGCTAAAAATAAAGATTACAGTATTTGCTTGGGTGTTTCAAATCTCCCACCCCCCACTAGCTCAGTCAGTGATGTTGCTAGCACCAAAATCCCAGAGCAAGCAGGTTTTTTCATGCTTTGCAACACTTGCACTAGCTTTATCCATCCATCTGTGGCTTAGAACAGCACAAGCATTAAATGAAACCAAATGCAACTAAAGCAAAGAATGTACTGAAAGAGGAAAACTCAGCTGAGGTGATGCTTGGCTCCCTGTTTAGTTGAGCAGTTACTCGCATTAATGCAGCAGGTGGCATTAACAGCATCTCAGGCTCACAGGCAGGGCAAAGCACTATAAAAACCAAGCTCTCTACTGCCTTACAAGATTGGACTGGATTAAGATAACTTTTTTTTTTTGGTCTGTGACTCCAGGCTACTGTCCTTAAATCTATATGGTGTGTTCCATTTGGGAATAAATAAATAAGCAGCTGAAAACCACAGAAAGCTTTTCAGTAATCAAACATCTCACTGCTTGACAATGCCTTAAAGCAGTCATGCTCAACCCTGAGCTTGGCATTTTCCACATTTTTCCTGTTTCCTCTGAGGCTGGCAGCTCTGTCCTCCCCTTCTGCCCCACTGAAACATTTAACAACACAGCAGTCTGCTCTGTGGCACTGTGCCTGCCCTCATTGCAAAATACCACTGCTGTTTGCTTTTTTAACCCTCCTGCACTTTTCCCTGGTTTTCTCTGAATGTTGACTGTGAGTGTGGCAAAGCCTGTGGTGCAAGTCTCTAATCCCAGCAAGCAATGCTTGCGTCTCCCCAAGATAACTCAAGCACCAGGAATGGAGGCCAAGAGAAGGAGATGGGGCACTGAGCTCCTTCCCACCTTTTCTTTTTCTTTCTGAATTAGTGTTTGCATCTCTTCGTTCCAATCCAGCAATTCCACGAGCTTCTTGACCCCAGTGACCACATCCTCCAGCTGGGCTATGTCATTATAACGTTGCTGCCAGGCAAACGGTCCTACAAGATCTCGGTTGATGAGGACCCGGGGAATGGAGTTGCGAACAGCTCCTGCCAGGCTGGCAAAGGGCTCCACCTAGAGGGAGGCAACCCGGCGAAGCAGAGAGAAAGGTGGTCACTCCACTGCAGGGACCAATTCATTGTGTGCTACATTTCAGAGATTTCAGACTGCTGGGTTCGTGCTTAACAAGTTCTCCCACCATGGGCTAAGCTACCCCAGCTTTGAACTGGTTATGGATGTTGCCAGTTATCCCATGGCCTTTGCTCAGGTTGCTGCAAAAATTACTTCTTCCACTCCAGGTGCCCACCTTCACCAGGAGCACTCAAAGTTTTCATACAGCCTCTGAGTGCATACACCCTGTTTCCCGCTACCTCCAATTTTACCTAGATAACCCAGTTTCCTTGCCTTCTGTAACCCCTCTCTCTCCTCCAGAGCCCCTCACGCTCTTTTTTCCTTGTGAACAGGGACATCCCCTTGTCCCAGACCTCCAGGGATGTTCCGATGACAAAAAGCAGGTCTGCCATGGGGAAGTCTGTCAAGTGCAGGAAGAAGCGCTGCGGGAGCTCCTCGCCAAAGAACACAATGTCAGGCTTGATGATTCCAGTGCAGACGCGACAGTGAGGGACCTTGTCTGCCATAACGTCTCCCTGAAGTAAAAGTACCCAATGCCAGTTGATATGGGGCAGCACATATATACACAAGCAGGGTCACAACCATGCTGGACCCTCACAGTAACAGTACTTTGTGTCAGTGCCCAGCTGCAGTCACTCACCCTGAAGTCCTCTCCTGGGAATTTCCTCCGACAGACTGTGCACGTGGCAGTAGCAAAGGTGCCATGGGCTTCCACCAGTCTATCAGGAGGGATCCCAGCAACTGGAATACAGCAGGTGGGAGAGGATCAGCTCAGCATGAGGTGACTGAACCAGAAACTCCATCTTCAACAAGCATTTCCCCAGTTCTCCTGTTTTGTTTCTCATCCTCATCTTTTCCTGGTACTGTACTGCTGAGAGCTGGAGAAAACTCACCTCGCTCCAGCCCATCAATATTCTGAGTATAGAGACGCAGAAGGAGCCCTTTGTCATGCAGAAGTCTCAGGAAATAGTGGGCATAGTTGGGTCTATAATTGCCAGGGTAGAGCTCCTTGGCCAAAGTGAAAAATGGCTTGGGGTTGATGAAGAAATAGGCCAGTTCAAAGATGGCTTCGGGATAAGGGATGTTGTACTGCTCAAGGTTACTATAGAGGCCGCTTCCTGGGGACCTGCAGAGAGGAAAGGAAGGCGGGCAGTCAGAACACAGGGGGAAAGCCACTCACCATGCCAGGACACAAAAGAGCAGAGAGCCAGGTCCTTGGTCTAGCCTGAAGAACCTGGCAGTAGCCTGAAGAACCTGGCATACTAAACGAGGATAAATAAAACACTGAAGGCACTACCTGAAGTCTGGGATCCCACTGGGGGTGCTAATCCCAGCACCGGCCATCACTACTACTCGACGACACTCCTTCTTCCGAATGAGCCCCGCCACATCCTGCAGGGTGAGTTTCTGCTTCCCACTGTCACCTCCCCAACTGCCCAGTCCCAAAACAGCACTGGCAGCAGCAGACAGAGAGAAGGGCCTGGTCCCTTGTACCCTGTTTGGAACAGAGGGAAAGCACAGTAGGTCATGTGGCAAGAGAGACTTCAGCTGAAAGAGCTGCTCAGAGGAGCAGGGGGAGAACCACATCAAGAATGCTACAGAACGCTCTTCAATCTGCAAGACTGTGCTAGTACATAATCAATGAGGACAAAGTTTAAGCATTAGTCTACTCCAGAAAAAGATGCTTTGCATTGCACTGATTTTAGAAGATCTTAAAAATACTAGATCAATGCTAAAACACACCAAATTTCCTTATAAGAAAGTTGTTTGTTTTTTTTCCGCAGGAAGTGGACACAGGACTGTGCTCAGGGACTCAGGTCTTACAAATTATTTACAATACTGTTTTCTATGCTCTGGGTTTCAGGAATTGTGCTTCCTGAACAGGGTGCTGTGGTCACTCTGGAACAACACTGCCTGGGTTAGAACAGACATTTCACCAGTTCTCTACTTCCCCCTGAAGGACGCTGCCCTGGGAGAGCTCCATGAACAGCTAGAAAGCAAAGGAACTGCAGGTCAGCAGTGCGTACAGATGGGGCTGAGAACACCCATTATCATCTAAGGAACACTTTCTCCACAGACAATGAGTGCTTGCTGCAGCAGAATATTAAAAGCAGTCCAGGCAAGGCATGGGAATGTGAAGAGCCAAGAGCTGCTGAATCCTGGCAATCTGCAAACAGCAATTACTGTGTCCTAATGTGCTCAGTGTGGCTGACTCTGACACCACAAGGACATGGTTCTGCTGTGCCAGGTCAGATCCCCACATAGCTAAATTCACAACCTGGCAAACGTTAACATTTCTCTGTGATTTGTTTCTGAGCTGCAATCCACAGCTCAGGCTCAAAGACACGAAGGCCCACGTGCCTGTTCAGACAGGAGAGGTGAGCCTCTCCACACCAGGGCTGCACGAAATCATCCAGCCCTACCTGCATGCCCCACAGCCAGTCCTGCACTGAGGGCGGAACCGAGCCAGGCCACCACGCTCCCACAGGCTCCTCCACGCTGCAAGAAAATACAGTCTGCGAACGGCGAGGCAAGGGAGAAACTGAGGCAGCAAAATGCGAGGAGGGGGCTCCCCTCGGCCTGCCCCAAGCCCCACTTTCTCCCCTCATCTCCCTGTCAGAGCCCAACACCTTACCTCAGGCTCCCCTCGGGACCTGCTCCCTTACCCCAGCTCCTCCCCACACCCTCAGGCCCTGTCCCTTCCACGCAGGCTCCCCCCAGCACCCATCAGGGCCCACCCCCTCCGCTCAGCTCCTCACCCGCCACCAGTGCCGCTCCGCGCCGAAACCCCCGCTCCATGGCCCCGTTGCCATGGTTAAAGGAGGAGGGAGGGAAGGGTGAAGGGGGAGGGCGGGCAACGTGAGGCCTTACGGTGCCCAGCGTGCCCCGCGCCGCGCCGCGCCGCGCCGCGCCGGAAGTGAGTGTGCATTTCCGGTGAGGGCGGCCCGGGGCTCGGCGTCGCTGCCTGCTGCGGTTGCCGCCGCCATGAAGGACGTGCCGGGCTTCCTGCAGCAGAGCCAGAGCGCGGGGCCGGGGCAGGCCTCTGTGTGGCACCGCCTAGAGGAGCTCTACAATAAGAAGTGAGTGCTGGGGGGGCTCCGCGGGATTGCCCCGAGGTGGCTGCCGGGGTCCTCCTCGGGGTGCTGGGCTCCAGGAGGGGCTGGGGGGAGCGGAGGCGGCTCGATCAGCGCTGCGGTCGTTCGGCCGGGGAGTCCCAGTTCGGCGTGGTGGGTTCATCGCTGTGTCTCGTCCCAGGAGCGCGGGGCTGGTGTCAGTGTGAGCTCGCGGGATGCCCTGCTTGTGCGTGGCGCCGGGTGTTGCGCCGGGGGTAGTGACTGAAAGCTGCACGTGGGGAAAAGCATCTGGGGATTAACTGACAGCGGATGCTGAACATGAGCAGGCAGCGTGCCCAGGTGGCCGAGGAGGCCAGTGGCTTCCTGGCTTGTGTCTGTAGTGGCCTGACCAGCGGGAGTAGGAGCTGATCGTCCCCTTGTACTCAACTCTGTTGTGGCTGCACCTTGAGTGCTGTGCTCAGTGTTGGGCTCCTCACTACCAGAAGGACATGGAGGCCCTGGAGTGTGTCCAGGGAAGGGTAATGGGGCTGTGAGGGGTCTGGAGCACATATCTTATGGGGGAACTGGGATGGTTCAGTCTGGAGCAGAGGAGGCTCAGGGGAAACCTTATCACTCCTAACAACTGTCTGATAGGAGGTTGTGGCAAGGTGGGGATTGGCCTCTTCTCCCAGGTAACACTGATAGGACCAGAGGTGACAGCATCAAGTTGCACCAGGGGAGGATCAGGTTGGATATTAGGAAACATTTTTTCTTGGAAAGAGCGGTGATGCAGTGGCACGGGCTGCCTGGGGAGTTGATACAGTCACAGTCCATGGGGATGTTTGAGAACTATGGAGGTGTGGCACTGAGGGACGTGGTCATTGGATGTGATGGGGATGGGGTGGAGTTGGTCTTGACCTCAGAGGTCTTTTCCAATCTTCATAGTTATGTGATTCTGTGTTTTGAAGGCTCTGGCACCAGCTGACACTGCAAGTTTTGGACTTTGTGCAGGACCCTTGCTTTGCCCAAGGAGATGGACTCATCAAGGTGAGGTGCTCAGCTATCCATGAGCCTTTGTTCTCCTTTCCACAACAAAGATGAGTGATGTATTTTTCTGCTAACAAAACTAAGTGCTCTGTGACTTATCTCAGGAGAAATACTGAACTAGGAAAACTTATCTGGGAGGAGTTTGTGAAGCAGATGCAACTGTGTGGGATTTGGGTAGCTTTTTTGGAAGTGTGCAAAGATTAAATGTGCTGTGTAGTGAGCCTCAAATTAATGTTACCGTGATTTCGTTCACTTCAGATTTTAGACAGAGGGTGTAGTGTCTTTTTATTTCCCTTTTGTAATAGGGTGGTTTACTGTTGCAAATACAGGACAGGCTGGCTGCAGTATATATAGTAGTTGCAGAGCATTGTATGCAGTAGTTCACCCATGCTTTGTCAAGTTCTTCCTTCATGAAGATAGGGGCTTACTCATATCCTCTGTGTGCTACAAGTAAGCATTCCTTCTTTCCTCACTTTCCTTTTCCTTTGTGTCTTTTTTAAAATTCAGTTTCCCATGAGGTCATTGCTTTCTTGATGAAGAGCCACTAGTTTCTAGTTGAAGAATGTGTTTGAGGGAGTTGGAGAACGTGTGCAGGGAGTTTTGAAATGTTCAGGCCTGTGCTATGTGTGCATTGGTAGTAGAAGGCAAGCACCAGGCTGGTCTGCAGAGAGGCATTGTGTTTCAGTATCTGCTAGCTCATAAAGTTCATGAATCACCCCTTGCAGGTGGGAGGATACCGAATGGATAGAATTATCCCAAAAAAGCAATTTTTGGATCCTGTATTTTGCATGATGTAGCTCTTTCCTGTATTGGATGCTCCTTACTTTATTGGAAGAATGTATGCGAATACAATGAAAAAGTGAATGTCGTGGATAAAGCAAAACATCTGTTTTCCCTGACTGTTCATATCTTTGTACCCACAGCTTTATGAGAATTTCATCAGCGAGTTTGAACACAGGTGAGTTTATTTGCCTGGAAGTTTTTAGATAACCTACTGCTGACAACTACTGCTCTAACAATGGGTTCTTCATTCTAGGGTGAATCCCCTGTCCCTTGTAGAGATCATTCTTCATGTAGTCAGGCAGATGACAGGTAAGTGACCTTACCGTTTGCTTATAGCATTTTTAAGGAGTGATGCCCATGAAACTAGGTAGTAGTAACCGCTAAAACTTCAGTGCTGAGCTATTGTCTTCCTTGTGTATGGAAAAAGGAAAGCATCAGTGCTAAGAGTTTGAGTAATTAGTGCTGTGTGAGAGCATCAGTACCATTGCTCAGCTGAGAAATCAGTTAATGTGCCAAAAGCCTGGCCTACAGATAGCAGCACCTTTAGAAGTTTGGACAGTATGCTATAGGAAAAAAATTCTTGAATTTAGGTAAAGGATTTACTCATAGGTTAATGTAGTGGAATTTCTGAGGTGTTTTTTGTTGTTGTTGTTGTTGTTGCAGATCCCACTGTGGCCCTTACATTTCTGGAAAAGACTCAAGAAAAGGTATTTTTGAGATCACCCTTTCTAGTTGTTCATCTGTGTGAATGGTAATGTGTATTTCATATGCAAAACAGCTGGAAAGACATGTCTATATGTTGAGACCTATGGTGGAGAATCCTTAGAGTGAACACCTGTGTTTCAATGCTGTAGCTTGTTAACAAGTGAAGTATAACTGGGTTTAGGTATCAAGAGCCTGCCTGACTGGAATGGAAACACTCAAGTATGGATTTCTGTAACTGCAGGTAAAAAGCAGTGATGAAGCTGTCATTTTGTGTAAAACGGCCATTGGGGCACTGAAGCTGAACGTTGGAGACCTGCAGGTGACAAAGGTGAGGTGGTAACTAGAGTTATACAAGTACTCAAAATAGTTTGGAGCTCAGTGATGTAGTTCAGTATTGGGTGTGCCTGTGTCTGTGCTTCAGTTGTGAATGAGATGATCATAGATATGATCTCCTAGGACTTCCAGGAAGACCTGCAGTTCTGCTTTATGTCTCATAAACCATAAAAATGTGGGAGTAGTGCTTGTAGCCAATGAAGTTTCAGGAAGATTCTGAGAACCATCTTTTAAAGTTTAGGGTTTTCCATGCGGTTTGGCTTGAGCCTTTTGCAAGTTGAAATATTTTGAAGGATCATGGTACTAAGTATCTATTAAGTATATATAGATGGAGTTTAGGGTGTTTTTTTGTGTGTTAGCTTTTTTGGTGTTAGCTTTTTTGCTTTTTTTTCTTAGAGGAGGAATGCCATTACTTTATTTTTAATACTGTGGTAGTGGCTTTGGCTGTGGTCTCATCTGTTTTTACTACTGAATGGACGTTACTTGCAGAACAGATATGATAACCCTTAATGGTAAACTGGAAAGATAGGGAGTGGATGTATATGAAGTGTACCTTTCTGTAACAGACAAGTTTTCCACTCTGTTAGGAGACCATTGAGGAGGTTGAGGAGATGCTGAACAATCTCCCTGGGGTGACTTCAGTTCATAGCCGCTTCTATGACCTCTCCAGCAAGTACTACCAGACGATTGGGAACCACGCCTCGTACTATAAGGATGCTCTGCGGTTTCTGGGATGCATTGATGTTAAAGATCTGCCGGGTAACTCTTCCTTTGCTTAGCAAAGAGAGCCTCAACTTTATTCTCTGTTCTATCACTTCAGTCTAAATAAATGCACTGGTTTTCTCGGCTTTGTTTTGAGTGTATTGTTGGCTCCCTAGAAAGAAGGCAGGGAGGAGGGGGATGATTAGGAAACACATGAAGAATGAGTACGATTCTGCTCCTAAGTGCATTGAGGTGATGGAGGCAGGGGATAGTGCTCCTACCACGAGGTTGTTCTAGTTCCCGAAATCTTCAGTATAGGTTCAAAAAACAGCCTATTTTTTTCTTTTACACTCCTGTGCTTATTGTAAGTTTCTGAATTTCAGGCATGGGAAAGGATAAGGAGAACGGCTGGGTATAATTAATAGAGGCAGAGAAGAAAGCGGGGGAGAGGCTAATGGGACTTAGACTGCTGCTCCATGCAAATGTTTATTGACGTTTTGGTGTTGTTTGTATGTTTTTTTTTCTTTCTACAGTATCAGAGCAGCAGGAGAGAGCCTTTACCCTGGGGCTGGCAGGGCTCTTGGGAGAAGGTGTTTATAACTTCGGAGAGCTGGTAAGGGATGCTTTTCTTTCGGCCATTGAGTACTTGAGGAGTTGATTTCATCCTTTTAACAATGTTTTGCATATGTCCTACAGCTCATGCACCCTGTTCTGGAGTCCTTGAGAAGCACTGATCGGCAGTGGCTGATTGATACGCTTTACGCCTTCAACAGTGGTAATGTAGAGACATTTCAGGCTTTGAAGTCAGCATGGGGTCAGCAGGTGAGTGAGTTGATACATTGCTTGATGCCTAGACTTGGTATTTACAGAGGTCACCAAAGAGATTCTGAGATCTTTAACTTAAGATTTCCTGACTCTTTGGGTATAATTTTAATCACAGAACTGCACCTTTCATCTTGGTTGGTTTTGTCAGAGAATATAGGGACTGGAAGTTAAAGAAGCTTTATTAATTGTAATCATGGTGAGAGGGCACTTGGACAGCATCTGCCTCTTTGCTCCCTTGTTTTCTCCCAGGTGATTGTAAACACCTGACACCTGTAATATTATGGACATAACAGTAGTTTGCATATTGACTTGTTTGCTTATATAAGGCTGTGGCTTTTATTAGGAGGCTGCCTACCTTGTGGGGCAGTGTGTTTAACTCAGTTCTTGG